CTCTGGTTTAGCCGTTATGGTATGAGTCAGTTCACGCACAACTTCGCTGGTTATTCCAAACTGACCGCTCGTTCATCGATCATTTCCACCCAGTTTCTGTCACCATTAAACTCGATCCTGAGGTACATAAAGTTTCCGCCTGCTCCGCTTTTCCTCCGTTTATCTGAAGAGAGCAACGAGGAGGAGAACGATTAAGCAATAGGCCTTGTGTTTTAGGTACGTTCACATTCTCGCCGGCCTCGTCGCACTACACCGTGAAAGAGCCGTGGAGCCTAGCTTCAGAAGAAGCCAACAAAGCAACGTCGTCTGTCAGTAACAAACTCATCGTCAGAACCTTATCTCTGCTGAGAGACTAGTTCTCTCTGTTGCTCCTCAATACCTTATTCATTTACAACACAACGATGAGAGGGAAGAAAACGCAGTTTTCGCAAATGTTACTGCCAATTTTGAAACATTTCGACTTAGCGCCATTTACTCTGACGTAGCGCCTGTTATCAACGTATAGTGAGTGAATGACTCTGAACAATTGGCCATCAATCCCACTTCTGCAGGCAAGCCCATAGCTTGTTGTGCAGGATTCGATGATAGGCCTTCTGAAGGCCAACAAAGCACATTCAAACTGGATTCGCGAACTCTGACGATTGTTCACCAGTCCACCGTAATGCCAAAAGTCGGTCCGAAATTCTTCGCTGGAACTGAAGTGACACTGCTCTCCTCTCTCTAGGAGTCAGTTATTTCGGACATCTAAGCATAAACGTTTCCCAACAGGCACTAAAAGTCAATCAACCAACGAATGGAGCACTCCCTATAGTCTCTCCTCGTGAATACGAGTATTATCACCCCTGTTTCCAGTCCAACGGTGTTCCTGTTTTAGAAATTGGAGTCTGACAGACAGGTCTTAACCACAACTTGGCTAGTTTACTTAAAGTTTCAAGCATCTCAGGCCTGATTTCATCACTCTTGGGACTTTACAAGCTTTCCATAACTTATGAAATTTCATCTACAGAAAGAGTAATATCCGTTCCTCGCTACTCTACAGGTGAGTGTTCCTGCGTTTACTGAGGTTAAGGAGTTCCGCAAAGCAGTCTTTCCATCGCCAAAGAATGTCATCCTCCTTGGTAAGAGGGCGTCCAGACCTGTCCTTCAGTATTCTTAGACTGCTCTTCTTCTCATCTCAGGATCGTTTTCAAGAATACCTTGTTTGCCGTCCGGAAATGCGATTCCAAAATCTCACCAAACTTCTCCCAGGAATATGCTTTAGCTTTCGCCACAGCTTTCGTCTAGCGTCTTGCGAGCTCATCCTCTCTACTTCAAAGCTATCTCTTGAATGTAGCCTTCTTCTCGGTGACAGCCAGTTGCGCTTTTTGTGTCCATCAATCGTTCGTTACTGAGGTTCTTGCAGAGGCCCTTGTCTTTGATAAAGTATCTCGAAAGTGCAGCTTCGTTTTCTTCTATTTCTGCTTGATATAGAATTTCATTGCCTTGGTATTGATCATCCATGAAGAAGTTAACCATATTTCTAAACGTCAAAATAACAATGTAACTATATCGCATGAAACTAACCTCATTACTGCAACTGTAACTGTGTCAAAGACAGTGAGTTAGCAACGTACCTTGCGCCGTAGATGAGTTAGGTTCAAGCCACAAGAATGGAGGAAGTTTTTTCCATATTAGTTGCTGTTTTCAATGAGCAAGGACTTCACAACACTATTCTG